GTGAACAAAGACATCAGCGGATTTGGTGTGAATGGATTGGAGAACTCTAAAACTGGTTTTTCAAGGTTTTCAAACGGATTGAACAGACCTGAACTTGGCGACCTCACGTCTTCCTGTCGTTTTTGTCGTGTGTGTATATCCCGTTTCTGTCTTGAGAAGAACAGTTTTTCGATCATACTAGCATCAAAGAGCTTAGGAGGGGTAGGAGTTGTCGTTGCAAGAGGTTTTTCATCTTGAACCGAGGGGAAAAATAGCTGTAGAGACTTTGCGAAAAGATTTTCTCTGGTGGTGGTTGTAATCTTTGGCGAAGTTGTAGTTGTTGCTGGTAAAATGCCGGCTACATCTTTTTGGAGGTCATTGAACTGCTTCTGCCAAGGTTCCAAATATGGTCTTATCAGGCGCTCTAGCAGAGGAGGCTGTGGGGTCGTTGTGGTTGTTGGTCGATTTAAGCGTTCTATCATCTCGAAAATGCTTCTCGAACTGCTTAGGGGGCTGTCTTCGCGTTCTTGGGCTACCTAAATGCGAATAATTGATTGTCAGTATTTAAGGCCCATATAGTTGCGGTGCAGACAGCACTTGTGCATATGTTCATAGGGCGCAAAACTTGAAAATATGCGTTTAGCAAAAATTTTGGCGAGATTATCAGCTTTACACGGATAACAATACGCGCAGGTGTTGTTGACACCGCAGAGGCAAGGCACTATATGAGCAGTTAAAGTCACTAGCATGTGTATAGCAAGCATTTCAGTATGTGAAGATAAAGTTGCAAAATTTTCAAGCCAATAAGTTAGAATGCGAAACTTTTGAACAGACAAATTTTGACAGTAAGCTAGATCTTTGGCCAGGCAGATCTGACACTTAGTATAGCGTCTTGGCGTTGCCGTCATTTGCCGACAACATTTGCGCGTGCGAATTGCCTGCATTGCAGGTGTAGATATTTGTCACGCGCAAATGTTGTCGGCAAGTGTCAGCGCCGCAGCGGTACGATATCAAGTGTCAGATTTGCCAGCCTAATGCTGCTTTGTAACGAGGATAAGATATCAGCAGAAGTTTGTGATCCGGAGTTAGCGTTTGAGAATTAAATTAAGTCTGTCAAAAAATGAATTCAACTTATTCACTAGTTGAGAATAGAAGAATTTGTAGTTTCAGTGTGAGAATGGTGGAGGACAGGGGCTCGCGCGAGTAAGGAATTGATGGAGAACGGTCTTGAGAATGTTTTTGAAGTGATTTGGGATGCTTAGAAAATTTTTCTCACCTTATCCGCATATGCTCGAGCTTTGACGTTCCTCTGCATCACATCGAACATGTCCATAAATGGTGACATCAATGGTCCGATGATCTTCCTAGCATCTACTCCACTCATGAGATCATGAAACGAAAACATTCAAGCGCTAGTTAGACGCAAATGGATGTATGGCTTACATTGTTCCCTCCCTGAAAGTCGGCAAATTGAATTTTGTTAAACAGCGGTACATCTCCTTGAGGTTGACTGAAGAATGGAGCAGAAGTTACTTGACAGTTAGATAATCGGGACCGTAGCAGAAATAGGAGTAGAGCTAGGAAGTGGAGGAGCATGTAAGCGTCCGTGTGGATTGTGAATTCTACGAATCGAAGCCAATGGATGGATCGGGGTCAGTCCTCATAGCGGCGCACTTTCGCTTTCCCCCATGCGTTAGCGGGTCACTAGAAGGGATATCTGGTCGGTGTTAGCTCCAGTTTTTCCCGGATTAGCCCGATTAGTCTCGCCATCGCGATCATTGCCTAAGTTCGGAATCGAAAGTGAGGTTTACAAAGGAGAATGGGCAAATGTACCAGAATATGGATGGACTGTCTCCAAACTTGTAATTTTCCGAATTCTCTATCATCGTGGAAGCACTCGGCGCTTGTTCATAGTAAAAAATGAGTCGGATGTCGTGGGCGTGCATGCATTATAGTCGGTACGATTCTTCTGGGTTACGCTAGGTAGACGGTAAAGGGTCGAAATCTCCATATCTCGTTAAACTCTGATCAGCGGTAATGAATTATCCATCCATTCATTAAGGTATTGTCTCATCGTGGTGAGGTGAATTCATTGTATCGCCATTTCCTATAAACACTAAGATCATGAAAGGTACCCCATGGCGGTCCCAGGATTTTCAGTCAGGGGAAGGGGGGCGACAAAAAGGTTTTTTTGGATGGAGGTGCGTGGCGTTAAAGGCAGTGTCCACCCAAAAGATCAACTTTGAGAT